CCACCCTCTCCTGAAGAAAATATGGGAAAAGGAGGAAATCCTCCAAGCTCTCAAAGGTGCCTCCATCGTCAATATTTATAAGAATAAAGGAGACCGGTCAGACTGTGGCAACTACAGCTGGATCTCGCTGCTGTCCTTAGCTGGCAAGATTATCGCCCAAGTCCTCGTAAACAAACTTCTTCCAGGGGCGGAAAACTTCCTCCCAGAATCTCACTGTGGATTTAAACCATCTCGTGACACCACTGACAGATCTTTGCTGCCTGTCAGATAGAGGAAAAGTGCAGAGAACAGCGTTGTGACCTGTACATGGCCTTCATCGACCTAACCAAGGACTACGACTCGGTCAACAGGGAAGCCTTCTGGCGGACCCTCAACCGTTTTGGCTGCCCACTAAAATTCATCACCATTGTGAGGCAACTCCACGATGGCATGAACAGCAGTGTCCTGCACAATGGCACCCAGTCTGAGCTCTTTCCCATCCAAATGGGTGTAAAACAAGGGTGTATACTGGCACCAACTTTCTTTTTCATGTTCCTGGATGCCTTCCTTACCTGTGCCAGCGCCAATTTAGCCGGCGGAGTGGACATGCAGTACTGGATGAAGGGTCTATACAACATAAGATGACTCCAGGCAGGAACAAAGGTGTTTGCAGCTTCCATTACTGAACTTCAGTATGCAGATGACCTCACCCTTGTCGCTCACACTGAACACGACCTACATGAGATTCTGAACACCTACGCATATGCGTATTCACACTTCAGCCTTGAGGTGAATGTACATAAGATTCAGATTCTCTTTCAGTCACACCTCCACCATCCATCCAGCTTAACGGTACTACCCTCTCTAATATTACCTCATTTTCGGTATCTCGGTTCCCACCTGTCCACCACGGCAGACATCGATGAAGTGTTTCAACATCGGATCAGATGTGCATCTCAAGCCATTGGCAGTCTCTGTGCCTGGGTCTTCAGCTGTAGGGAGCTGAAATTATCTACAAAGTTGCACGTACATCAAGCAGTGGTCCTCCCCACCCTGCTATATGGCAGCGAGACATGGGTAACATATAGGAGGCACCTCAAGGAACTTGAAAACTTTCACCAACATAGTCTACGTTCCATCCTCCAAGTTCGCTGGGAAGACAAGAGAACAAATGCCAGTATTCTCACTGACACCAACTGTAGAAGCATCGAGGCTACCATTATCCACGAACAACTATGCTGGACTGGCCATGTTACCTGTATGGATGATAGCAGACTGCCAAAGCAGCTACTTTACAGCCTCCTAACGAATAATAAAGGTAATGCTGGCGGGCAACTGAAAATGGTATAAAGATAGTCTTAAGACAAACCTGAAAAAGTGCCAAATCTACCCCCTCACCTGGGAGACGATTACTCCACACCGTAATGCTTGGAGGAGCACCCCACAAGAAGGTGTCAATGCTTTTGAGTTAACCTAACTACATACCAAGGCAGACAAGCACCAATGCCGGAAAGATGCTGCTGCTGCTCCTCCCGCACTCGATGTAGTCCTCCACATGTGCAACATCTGTGAACGACTCTGCCGGTCCCGTATCGGCCTCTTTAGTCACCTCAGAACTCACCAACATAGGAGACATCCTTAAAAGCTCATATCATTGTATCATAGCTGGATGATCGTCATAATCAAATTCCAAATGACAGCAAAGTAGTAGTAATAGTATCTTCTGTTAGTTAGCCGAGAAGTGTGGCTACCTAATGTAAAAGGCAGATATGAAACTACCCTGATAGGCCAAACTCTTTTAAATATGTTCACTGCCCTTACGCACATGCTTTTATGTAAAAAAAAAGTATAAAAATTCTGGAAATACATTGTTTATGTGCACATTTGCATAGTACAACCTTCAGATGCCTCTTTGCATATGAAAACCCTGTGTATTAAGTGAACTGAAAATGGATCTTAATCATAGCTGACAAGCACAAGAGTGGTGTTTGAGATACACCTGTAAAAAAAAAAGACAAAAATATTAAAGATGAAAACTGACATACAAAGGGTTCTGAGATCAGAGAAATGCTGGGACAGATCACCACATTTGGCTTGAATTATTAAAAAATCACTAAAATATAAAAGCAAAAAATTAAAATCTATTTTCAATAAATTTTATTATAATTTCTATTTTGTTTAATCAATTGTATCACAAGAGTATTATATATTATTATTCACTACAAGAGTACAATATTTCACTTTAATTATGGGCTAAATAGGTTTTTGTGGGCTGGCTTGAGAACTTAACCACCATGTGTCTGCTAAATTGAGCTCCGAGTTCTGAGATCCAAACAAACGACTTATGAAATATATTTTGGAGTGGAACCCATTCGTAACCCAGGGACTTCCTGTACTTTGAGCTTTCAATTATGATATTCCAGGATTTTTCTGTTCAATGATTTATTTTGAATTCTACTGTTTAAAGGTTGATACAGTATTTGGTTTTGAACTTTAAAAAGCAAATACAGTACTAAATACTCAAAGCTAATAGTAACCAAAATTGAAGCACAATTTGTAATTGCATACAATTCTTGTGTTCTTCAGGTCCAGAGACTCACAGCTGCTGCTTTGACTTAGGGATGCCACACTCTCCAAGCATCCACTGAGAGCCACATGTATTGCAACAGAGAGAGTTTAAGGCCATATTAATACAGTTTGCCCTTCCTCTTATTTTGGTCACATCACCCTTATACTGTACCACTGTAATAAAAAGTCTTAGCCAGGAACTAAGAAACTATATATCAAGAGTTATAAACTGTTAAAATTGAAAGTGAAATGATAAAAGTCTACTTTTAATGACTAGAAAAAAACAATCATGAATTACATAAATTTAAAAATATAAGAAAAAGTGAAGTGCTCTACACAAAACATTTGACCAGGATAACATAGGACTCACAATTTCTTACCTGAAACAAAAATCTATTCTAAGAAAAACATAAATGTTAATGCCTTAATCAAACATGGCCAGGGAATTACTCCTTATGTAATTAAAGCAGACGGGCAGACATGCATAACTTTTAATAACATTTTGGCTTATTTGTAAGTAAGATCATTAACATCAAAAACGTTTTCTACCATACAAACAAGAAGCCATTCGAAACTTCTTCTAATCAACAAGACCCCACTTATACTTCCCTCTCACCCAGACAAATCCTCACTTTGCACCTTACTCTTCTCTTTTCCTAGTATCTGTATGTCTATTCACCTTATTCTAATCAAAGTACTTGGTCACTCAGTGAACCATTGTTATTTCATTGTCATCAATATTTTACAGCAATTTTCCACATTTGTGTGGGTTAGCCATGGTTACTTAATGGCAGCTCTCCATGCAGCACAGTCTCTTGCAGCTTCTCTTTATCAGGTTCTAACTCTAACTTCTACCCATTTCATTCTTGGCCTAACGCTTGCTCTCTTACCCTCCCAATTTAATACACCTTCATTTCTTGACCCAATTGGTCTCATCCATTCTCTCCAAATGCCCAAACCATCTCAGCCTACCTCTATGCAAAACTTTGCCAATACTCAGTACTCTCAATACCCAGCTCTCCCCTTAGCTCTGAACAAGGCTTCCTATCTTTCTGTGTCACATTGTACATCCACCTTACCATTCTCAATTTAGCACACTCAAGCCTGCATATGTCATCCTCTTTAACCACCCAAGTTTCACTAAATTGAAAGCCTTAAAATATAAAGCCCAATAATTAACTTCTCCCCTCTCCAGTTGCTTCCATGATTCATTATGTCTTCTCTATTGTGCAGTAAGAAGATAAAACTGCTGGATCTAGACAGTCCCTTGACACTAGACCTTCTCTCTTTGCTTTCATACACACTGCAGGAAACTACTTAACCACTATACACATTCCTCCACCTTCTCCCATCAGTTACTGCACTCAAACAGTCTCATCAGATTTAATTTATTTTGTAATTTTTCCAATCTCACCAAAATTCTCTTACCCTCCATTACTTGCTTCCATCAATTATTGGGGGTAAAACTCAAACATGCAAAACAATTACAATGGCTGTAATAACCAAAGTTATGTAAAACCAGATCATGAATGAAACAGGTATGAAGGTGCAATATCATGGCAAATTTCCACTAACTTTAAGAACAGCAAATAGAGCTAGAAACAGAGGTAAAAGACTGGAAGTTATGCTGTTGTCATGCTTAACTTAACTAACTATATAATTCTATCACATGCTAAATATACAGTACAGGTATGGGACCATTTATCCAACAAGGTTGGGACCTAGGGTTTTCCGCATATTTGTTTTTTTTCAGGAATTTGGAGCACCACACCTAAAATGTACAGTAAACCCCGTCACTTGCTGTGAAGCGAAGGCTCTGTTCAGATCACTAGATTCACCCCTAAAAGTAGCTTTAAATGTACACAGTAACATCAAAACTGAAAATTTTAGGCACATAAACAGTAATAAAGAAAGTATTACAGTAATAATGAAAGCATAAAAAGAGCAAAAATGATACAAGTTAATGTATACACTCTGTCACACTCACCCCTGATACTCACCTTAGTAATGCACACACTCACCACCCATAAATACCCTGTACATAAAACTTTATACCTTATGATAATTATTTATTTTTGCACTTTCTGTATTTTGGATTGTGTGTGCATGTAACTGAGTAAAAAAAAAATGAAGAAAATTACATACAGTACAGTATCTCTACCCAAATTTATGATTTTAAAAAATAACCATAGCTCACAGGAGGGGAATGGTTGGAAATATCCCCGCTTGGCCCTCATTTTAAATAATTTAATCCCAAACATAGTCGTTTTTTTGGAGCATTCCTGATACCAGGACACCAGATAATGGTCCCATACCTGTACTATATTTGAATCAATGTAACATTTTTAATATCAAATGCATTTTTAAGTAGCTACAAACTAGTATGGTTTGACTGGATCTGAATGAGACAAAATTACAACTTTAAGACAAACAAAAATTTATGATAAACTTACTTGTTTATGTCATCATAACAAGACTCACATACTCGCACTTCTCGTTCAATACCAAATTTGGGGATTGTTGAATACTTGCTGGAGCAGTCCCCACAAAAAACTTGACCACAGGCACGACAATGGTGCTGCAATAGGAACAATTTAAACAATATGAATGCTCAATTATCAGACTTAAAAAGTACAGTTATTTTTTATTAATTTATTGATTTATTTTTATTTTCTTATACTATATCATTTTCACCACTTGTCAGCTAACTAGCCTGTCAGGCAATTGGTCTGTTATGACCTTCATTGTCCTGTGTTAGTACAAGAGGATACTGGAGTACCCAAAGAAAACCTGCCATGTTTGGTAGATCACAATGGAAAAACCCGTTTCACATCCAACCCGGAGATCAAACCTGGGAAGCAGTGATGAAAGGCAAGCACACAACCATTGGACCACCATCACCGCACCAGATGGATTGCATAAATGCTGATTACAATCAAATATATTATAGCAATTTCCTATGGGACATTATTTTTGTGCATCAAGCAATTAGTTTGTTGATAGCAAGCCAAACTGAGCAGAGGTGTGCAATAAGTTTTAGGAGTGCCAATCAGCTGGTAAAAGTGAGTTTTTCAAATTATTCTTAAAATTCCTTATATTTTATAAAATATCTGAAAAGCATAAAGGTTCATGTACTGTATAGGAACTCTGTACAATCAATGAACTGAATGTTATCAAAACTATTAATGAACATCTAAAATTCTTTCATACTTCAATGAACATCTAAAATTCTTTCATACTTCAATGAACATCTAAAATTCTTTCATACTTCAGTGGGATTCAGTGGACCTTGTTGGGAATTTGTGATAGCTGTTATCCAGCAACTCCTGCTCCCAATACAACATGTGTGTGCGAGCGTGGTGGGATGTATCTGTGTTAAGATCCATGTTTTACATCGAAAAACAGGGTCATTCCAAGAGTACCCAATCTGACTTCTAAAAAAATCCGATTTGTGAATGACTAGTGCGTGAAAGTGACCAGTACAATATCTACTTGTGATTCCCCTACTAGATATACATATTTGTCAATATTTACTGGTGAATCTGTGACTCCCTTCAGTACCACGGCTTAAAATCCAAGCCCTAGTCCAATTGTGACCACCCCAGCTGACCACACAGCTTGACTGACTCTCTACTGTTAGCTCACACTCCCATCACTAGCTACGATATGTCTAAGTTGACTGCAAGTAGAAAAAATTCAAAGCTTACGAAACAAGCCCTAGCTGATGTGATAATGGAAGTCCATCGGACTCTTGTTCAGGACATCATCCAACATTTGAATAAGGAGACCATCAGGAAACTAGAGGAAGCTGACTGGCATCTCATTACCTAGCTAAATGATATTACAAGAAGCTTAAAATTTTCATGGGGAAATATGTGACTTAAAAGTAAAGTTGAACATTGAAGCTGAAGAGAACCGAACACTCAGGACCTGAGTTCATCAGTTGAGTGAGAACTCCAAACTCAAGACGGAACTAGCGACAACAGCGGATCGGGTGGATTATGTGGACGACATAGGGTGGCGAAATAACCTCAGGTTTGCTGAAGTCCCCGAAGATCTTTACGAGAGCTGGGAGTTATCCCAGCACAAAATTTTATGCCTACTAAATGAACATTTTAAACTTAATGAAGTCAAGTTTGACCGAGTTCAACTCGTCAGGAAATCCAACTCCTCCCACCCGAGACATCATAACAAAGTTCTCTTCCCCATCTGTTCGTGACAAAGTCTTCCACCAGAGTAGAAAGCTGACAGGCACTACTGTCTTCATCAACGAGGACCTATATCCAGGTACAACTAAAGCCCACCAACAGCATATGGGCAAGTTTAACAAAACCAGGAAGCAAGGGAAACACGCAATGTTAGGTCATAAAACCCTTGTTGTGAGGGACTCTCTGGCAAGTGGATACCCCTCCACTCACCCACCAACTGTACAAGCTCCCCAAACCCCACAAGAACCCCCTCCCCACAGAGAGGAAACCCCCTATACCTTGCTAATACAGTCCTCAAACGTGAAAAAATACTAAATTCCTTGAAGCTATTGTTGATGAGAATCTTAGATGGAGAAACCACATACAAACCATTCACAGTAAAGTCAATAAACAGTGCAGTACCCTGCATCACACTCGTCAGTCACTCACTCTTGCAGCCATGAAAGAAACCTATAGGTATTATGAACTTGTTTACCAACACTTGATACACTGTCACACACTATTGGGAACCTGTAATGGCCCCTGTCTCATCAACAAAAGTATTATATAAATGGGTTATTTACATCTGATTTATATTCAGATTCATCCTCTGTAACTTTCCACTGGCTATGAGGTGACATGTTCAATGCACGTGATAAGGTGTGCCCACGGGAAGCTGCGTCATACTATGCTGAGTAAAGGCATAAGTAGCCGGCTCTCTGACCACCTAAAGCGAGCAGTAGTTTGATATCCTTGACTAGAGGAAGACGTTATTTGAGTGCCGCAGAGGAGGAACGACGTACCAATTGCGTTCTCCCTCGATGGGTACACTACTCAGAGAGTAGCACTCCCAAACTTACATCGAACGGAGGGCAGGAGACTCCCCTCTCTCTTCACGCTCATAGATAGCGGAAGACACAGTGATTTACACATCAGGAATTGCAGCTCGTGTGAGTACGAAAACGACATATCAGTCTACGTACCAAGGCGTCGGTGTTTTGTGAAACTAGAAAAACAAACACCCTACAGTGACACGTTACAAACAATATCCGAGTGTTAAGAATATCCCGTATTGAGACGATAATTAGTGGGTGTTTCTCATTCTGTCGCCCAAAGATGGAGAATTATTCCCATTAACCGCAATTGAGTTATTGTGGACGTGAAATCCCTGTTAACAACAAGTGAGAGGGGTCAGGAAAGCGTCTGTCAGCACCTGACCATTCTGTGGAAGGTATTTCCCTGTCGTGAAGTGGATTCAAGCGGCGTTCGTCATGCAGCGCGCCCCCCGACCCATAGTGGGAGGAAAGAGTGCGGTTACCCACCCCCCACCTGGAACCATTTGTGGTTTCGCGATCGTTGATTGCAGTATTTCCGGTGTCATCAGACAGTCCCCCATATATATACGGGATTGCAGAAGATTTGACATTCAGTGGAGACATCGTATCAGCGCATAGCCTACAGTGGGAGGGAAGATTGACGTCACCCACACGCCTACACCCACCCCAAAACAGATAGCAGCTAGACGGATCGCGTTTTCTATAGACGCCCTAACTCCTGTATTAGGTATTTAAAGAGTAAAATAATATATTCACCGTAAGACTGTAACTTCTCAAGTGATTGTTACAACTAACAGTCATCTCACCATATACACAGTTGGTAAAGGTAGAGGAATTATGTTCTCCCCATTACTGTGGCATACTGGTTTAGAAGAATATATATATTCTTCTAAACCAGTATGCTATATATATATATATATATATATATATATATATATATATATATATATATATATATATATATATATATATATATATATATATATATATATATATATATATATATATATATATATATATATATATATATATATATATATATATATATATATATATATGGTGACCTCCGTTAATAACTCAATCCGTTCCAGAAGGTCGTTCGTTAACCGAAACCATTGTTTCAATGGGTTTTTGGGTAATTGGTTCCAGCTCACTGAAAATTTCCTAAATTCAACAAAAATGGTAGAAAAGTTCACTTACTTTGAGGTGTGTATGTAGAAGGCTCCTGGATGATGATGATGATGATGGGATTTAGAATGGGGGTGGAGGAGAAGGAAGAAGAGAAGGCATTGGGGTGGAAGAGAAGTCACCCCATGGCGCCATTTCACCCATAAAATTTTAGCTCTCTAGTGTAATTCAAGATTATTTTCTTTAAATCAACACTGCACTGCATTATATATTGTCAATATGTAAAATATATTTCAAAATGACCAATAATTTGCTTGGAAACACAGAAAAAAAGCACTTAGTTGAAGAGAGTCTCAAGCAAGATGTTACCTCCAGTGAAAACAGAGAGAGACTAACTCCTTTTTGCTGTGTTAAGAGGCTGGATGCCGCGCATTAAACTAGTCACTTTACCTTCAATTATGTTCAATAATTGTTAAAATGACTAAAAAATTGAATATTAAACTTTTAAAATTATTGAATAGTATAAACTTCTTGATATTTACTAAAATAGTAAGGAATTTAAGCCCTAGAACCGATTAATGTATTGGCGGACTGATACTAAAGCTGGTTGCCGGGTCAGTGCAAGCGAAAACATGTTGAGGTTGGTTCGTAAGAACTTCGTTAACCGAATTTTTTTTCGTTAACCGAATTGAAGATCCTTATGGAAGGCAGTTCGTTAATCGAAATTACGTTAACCGAGGTGTTCGTTAAACGAGGGGTCACTGTATATATATAAAAATGCTTTGAAAACCTTTGATCTAGATGTATGATAGTTATTTTGTGGGTCCCTTTTTTCTGACCTGACCTGGCTAGTCACGTCACCACCCTTCTCTTAATAATAATAATAATTAACGGTTTATTGAAAGAGCTTGGCAGCCAGAAGGCTGAAAATATACAGTTACATATTTGGGGAATGGGTTACAAATTACAAATAATATACAAGTAACATGAGTGACACAAATAAGACATATAATAACTAGATGGGGAAAAGCTCAAACTACAGTTCATTTCAACATAGTGACAGTGCAAGGAGTAGTGTTTACTGGGAGTGAATACACTGATTTATTACAAGTTATTGATAATTTTTACAATGGTTGGGACTGGGCTGTTCTTATAGCGATCAGTTCGTGCACGTATGGGCTGGATGCGGTTGTGGTGTCGAACAGCAATTCTCGGACAGGGGATCTCAGGTGGTAGTAGGGGCCGGTGTCGAGGATGGTGTAGAAGCTTCTTACCAAATTTGCAGATGAGGCCGTGGTGATGGTCAGTGAGAGTCGAAAGGGTCAGTGTGTTGAGCGCTTCTTGATATGTGGAGTAGGAAGGGAGAATAATCTTGCATGCCCTCTTTTGCACTTTTAGTGTTTACTGCTAGGCATTTAGGGAGGAAG